GTCTCTTCTTTACAGTCAATAAACAATCACCCTTACTCTCCTCTTTGGCTACAGACTTTCATCTTCCTTCCAACTGTGTCTTTCTCTAGATGAAAAGGACTAAAGTTGGCTTGTCTTTAATCAAGGTCTGCTGGTCTGCAGCTCTGTGTAAAGGCACCCCCATGTAGAGAAGAGGACCTGCTACTAGCACCCAACCCCCACCCCAAAATAAGAAACTAGTCTTTAATTATATGAGTATGTTCACTGACATTTATATAAGACTCCATCATTTAGAAAATTTTGAAATAGAATTTTACATGTTATAATATATACTCAAGTAGTATGCCCAAGATGGCTCAGCCGGTGAGTAAAGCTTACAAGACAAAAAAGGTAAGTCTGCTGGCCAACATTCATATACCTTTGTGGATAGAGGAATGATGGGGTGGTGATTCCATTGCCCAGGCAGCTCCTTAGCTGCTCAGGGAATTGAATTAGGAATCAGAAGGTCCTGTCAGTTTTATGCCCTACTTTGAGGAAGCTGTGTGGCCTTAGGTAAGTCATTTTAGCCCTCTGAGTCTTTCCTCAGGCGTTAATTAAAGAAACCTCTAATATTCCTATTAACTGAAAGCTGACACATCTACAGTATGAAACCCCAGAATAAGGCCAATCCAATTGTGGGCGTTCTATCCCAGGACATTGCATTGTCTGATGAATTGGGTCCCTCATCATGTTTAGTGGAGAGATTTCATGTTGCCAGAGTTAAGCATTGAGCCACTGAGAACTTCAGGATAGAAAAATGTGTTTCTGGCAAATTTCAGTTCATTATATAGACTTACGTTGAGAAAATCTGTAGGAAAAATAGGAAATGCTTTGAAAGGGATTACCCATGCTACCTCTCTGCAAATTATCATCCTTGTTAACCAGCTTCAAACTATTCAGGGAAGTCAGTGAATATAGAGAACCAAACAGCAACCACTTTTTCCAGTGAAGAAAACTCTGAGAGATAGTGATAAATAACTACTCAATTATGATTACTGGTAAAAATTATGGATCCACATGCTAGCAGACCAAGAACAGAGGACTCAAAACTTTTCAGGAAGACAATGCAGTTCTAAAAATTACCCTCTACCTCTAGGATGATTCCAGAATTTCATTTTGTCATGGTATTTTTTTTTTTATCTTCAGAAAAATACTTAAAACATTAATAAAAAATATTTATCTGAAATGGTTGTCTTTATCTTATGATCTATACCGTCTTACATCAGGCTTCATGGGGAGAAGGTTGGGGCCTCTTAGTCTCTTGGCACTGTGGCTCAGTTTGGAGTCTCATTCATTATTAACATAAAGAGTTGACATCTGTCACTGAGGCAAAATATACTTGAGAAGGGAGGAAGCCTAAGCAGATAAATAATGTTGCTTTTCCTGGTATGATACATAGCACACACACAGAAACACATACACACACACACACACACACACACACATGCATGTATATATGCACACAACACAACATACACACAAATTTGTAGGACATATCTACTAAATGCCTCTCTTTCTTTCTCATCTCCACCTGCATTGATTAATTCCTTTCCAATTTTTTCCTTAGCATGAGAAGGGAAACATAAAAAAAACTTTATATTCCAGCACCACGCAGAGACTATGTAAATATCATATATAATGCATCTTCCGATTTGCATTTGAAATTTGGTATTGGGTATGTGGCAGACTGAAAGCATTTAGGTGGAAGGCCAAGAAATAATGATGGTCTAAGTATATGTTTTATTTTAACAGAGGGAAGAACGTGATATTACTAAATAGTCACTTGTTACCTACCAGAGTTTACTGCCTTCAGACTTCATTGCTTCTAACTATTGGATAAAAGCATGAGATTTTTTTATGCCCAATCCCATAGAACTAACTGTTGCATTTCTTCTTGAGAGTCCACCTTGTTTTTTATAGATCAGTGGAGTAAGCTGCCTTATCAGAATGGACTATAAGTGCAGAGTAAAATGTAAAATGGCTGTATCACTAATCAGGAAAATTGTGGTAAGAGTTTGACTGTAGACAAAGAATATGGTGTATTCAAGATCACTATATTGTATGAGCAAGAAGTTTTCTTGATATATTAAGTGTGCTTGCTACCTGTGCTGTTTTTCAAACAAACAAACAAAAAAAAGGGCAGGGGCATGTGGTGGCTCAGTTGGTTGAACATCCAACTTTGGCTCAGTCATGATTTCACGGTCCATGGGTTTGAGCCCTATGTGGAGCTCTGTGCTGACAGCTTGGAACCTGGAGCCTGTTTCATATTCTGTGTCTCCCTCTCTTTCTGACCCACCCCTGCTAGCATTCTGTCTGTCTGTCTCTCTCTCTCAAAAATAAACATTTTTTAAAAACAGGGAAAAAAGAGCAATGACTGGACAAGAGTTTTTCCTTCCCTGGTAGAGGTGAAGATGCTGATAGCCTGTGACCCAGCATATCATTCTGAAGGTATAGACACTACAAAAACCCCTGTATGTGTGCACCACAGACATGGACAAAAATGTTCTTGGCAGTTACGGATGTAAAAGCAAACCTCAGAACCCAAACGTCCATCGACACTATAGTGGATAAATAAAGCAAGGCTTATTCGCACAGTGGAATACTTGGCAGCAGTAAAACTAAGTGAATAAATTACAAACTCTAGGACTCAGAACATATGCTGAATGAAAAAACAAGCCACATAAGAATGCATACAGCATAATTTAGTTTCTATAAATTTCAGAGATACCCAAGATACGATGATATATTTGGCATGGATTCAAACATACGCAATGAACTACACAGAAAAGCAAAAGAGTGTTAAGTTCAAATTAGGACAGTGGTTACGTCTACAGGTAAAGTAAAGGAGAAGGTACTAGGGAAGATCAGTACAAGGATTCAAAAGCAATAATCCTGCTTATAGAAATAATAATTTCTTAAATTGGGTAGTGGGTGTTCACTGCATCATGTTTTGTTATACTTTTACATATAGATAATGAACCAGCTTTTTAAAATGGTGTAAAAAAATAAAATGGCATAAATTGTTGATTCCTTTTGCTTCCTGAGGATTTGACTTCATGGTTCAAAGTTAAGAGCAGAAAAACATAAATCCATACCAAATTCAGTACTATGATTTGAGGTAGGAATTATCCATCCCCCCCTTGACATCTAATCTCACATGATGGCTTGGTAACAAAGGATTGGTAATGAATGATTTTTCTGCATAGCAGGGCTGCAGTTTCTTCAACTATTACTGATGTCAATAAGAGGATACTGAGAGCATTCTTTCATAAAATTGTGTTTAGACATCTGTTCTCTAGTATTTTTTCTAAAAGCAAGGAAGAAAGAAACATGGCCAAAGGCAAAACTTCATCAAATCAGTCCTAGCCCAATCATAATGCTAAAGGATACAAATATTGAGCTCTATCAATCATTTCTGCTCTGCTAATCACAGAACCGAGGTGGTGGTATTCTCCCTCAAAAGAGGACAACTAAAGAAGCTCTGGACTGTGTACTTCCCCGAGGAAGGTAACTCAAAACTCAGAAATAATGCATCAGAACTGAAGAGACCTAGAGGGTGGTCAGTGTGGGGACAGCTCAGGGGGGTGCTGTAGGGACACCCAACCCAGGCTGGGAGTTCATGAAAGGATTTGCAAGGTAGGAGCAGCTGAGCTCTATGCTTAAGAATTAATAGAAACTACTAGAGGACATAGCCTGGGGGAAGGAAGTTCCAGGCAGCTACAGAGAGGTACTGAGTTTTGGGGAGTTTAAAATTTTCCTACAGAGATCTGCAAAGACAACATGACTAAAGTTCTAAGTTAGGTTTAGATTGAAGCCTCCTGCCACATCATGACTCACCCCAGATGTGAGACAGCACAGGGCAGGGCTGAGGGGAAGGGCTCTGGCGTCCAGACACTGGGACTGAATCCCTGTCTGTCTCCAGAGTCATCATCCAGCTCTCATTTCAGCTTAAATGTTCATTTCCTATTGCTAATCTATCCTCTGTGCTGTAGCCACTGAGGTGGTGTGATCCTCCTAAAGTACAACTCCTGGGTCTCCTTGATTTAAAACTCAACTGCTGGTTCCCCATTGCCCAGGATAAATGCTCAAACTTCTTAACGCAGCTTTCAGATTGGAGCAATCTGGCCCCTGCTTCCCTCTCCAGCCTCATCTACCTGGTGCTTCAGCAGCATTAAGTCACCTCAGCCTCCCTAACCCTCCAGCCCTGCAGCCTCCAGCCTCCTAACACTCCCCACCATGCTCTCTCAGCTTTGCCTGGAACATAGCTCTACCTTCCTCACCAAAAAACTCCTGCTACTCTTTAGATCTCAGCTTGGCAACCTAGAATAGGAAATGTGTAGTTTATTGAACACACACACACACACACACAGACACACACAAAGATATTTTGTAAGTTTATGTAAATTTATCTGTATAATACTGTAGATACTTAAAATTTAAGCATCTGCAAGTTAGAATCTAGATTGCTTTAATATACTCTGCATATAGCACCTTCGAAATTAACATTAAACAATAACACAAGCCAATTTACCATTTCTTGGGAGCAATTTTTAAAAACATGGTAATTGTTCTAGTATCTATTGGGAAATAACTATGTTAAATCCACATTTTTATTAATAACTATTTCATAGTTTAATATAAACTATCTTCAATATAAAATGTTCATGAATTAATGCATGGGTACTTGTATATGGACACATGTAATATAAAATGTACCCAACTGTAAAGAGCATCAAAGTAACACATAATAGATAGCCATTGGCTACACATCAGAGTAGAGAGAGGAGACTTTTCTGTTACTCAACAGTAGGCAATGCTAAAAATCTGATCACAGGGGAAAGATGCAAAAAAAAAAAAAAAAAAAAGCCAGTAAATTGAGGGGTTACTGTGATCTATACGATGTCCCTTTTTTGCTTCAACCAGTAAACCATCACCAGTGTGACAACTGAACCTTAAGACTGCAGCCAGAGAATTCCTCCTACCTCAGCATCAAAGCGAGGATCCTGGTAGGCATCGCTGATGTTCACTGGGAGGCCTGTGGAAGCCACTAACTCGGCAACACTGTTATTTATAAGCCAGTCGGAATATGAAGATTTCTCCATGCTCTCTTTGAAACTATCAAAACCAAAGCAGGAAGCAAGAAAACAGAAATATAAGTTTGTTTGAAAGCAAATCTTATAAAACTACACTCATAGTAGGATTAACTCTTCTCCTTAAGAAGGGAGAAGTGACTTCAGTCATAGAATAGCAGGGTAATTATCAGTAGCTACTTCAAAACCTTGCCCACTGTAATGTAAAATAATCAAATCCATGGGAAGAAATAATAGATTCTTTATGATCCAGAGAACAACTCTGTATTTAGGCAAAAGCAGACAGACATAAATAATACAGTAATGACCCAAATCAACAAGAGGATGCCAAAACCCTGGCATAATAAACTTCCCTACCCTCCGTGGCCCGCTCCCTTAACTAAGTGGACTGCATGTGTGACATCAGGAAAAATTAATCCCCAGAATGGAGAAAAATCAGGAAATAAATTGAGAATTTACAAAATTTCAAATGCGGCAAAAGAGTAGTTCTAGGCCATGTGTAATCTTGTTAGTAATTATGTAACTGTTTTCGTAGCATGTCTCAGAGTTGCTTAACAAAAGTACACTTCTACTTACAAAATCTCACTGGAAAACCTGTTTTAATTCTACTGACACCTAACATTAATAATTTAAATTATACCCATATTTGATTTCAACAGGAAGTTTATGCTAAATCATGTTGTGAACTTTCCCTTGTATCATTTCACTAGAAATGCTGTAAGAATTAGTAAGATTCCCTACTCCCTCACTCCTGTCCATCATTCCTTCCCCAAGTACATATTGAACACTGCCAAGAGCTATGGAATTGCAAAAATGAGTACTGTTCAAATCAGCAATATCAAGGAAAATTTTCACAGAAAATGTTAGATTTGTGGCTTGGCAGGTGATAACTGAAATTACGTAAATGAATGCCAGTATGCCAGGGCAACTGTTTTCCAAACTTCATTCTGTGGAACCCTGGGTTCCAGGACACGTGAATGAGTGTACCACAGCAAGAATAATAAGTACTCTACTGACTTTTTAATCTAAACGACTTTATATGTAAGGAAAACACTATAAACCCTGTAAATAGTCAGTGTTACTATGCAGCAATGCGCCTGTGTGGAATTTGTGTCACACCGAGAATTTGTGGCACAGAGAGGCCACCAGATGCACGAGGAAGTGGGAAGCACAAGAGTTCTTTAGCAACATTAATAGGCACCATCTGTGGTGACGGCTGGTCTGTGCTTGATAAATTTAACATATATTTGTGATGTTACTCATCCCTTATTGCATATCAAACATTACTAACACATACATTTATTCCCTAAAATCTTTGACTGTGAGAAGCAGAAGTTTTCATAAAAAGCTGAGTTGTGTTTCTCATATGGTGCCTAAATAAAAGAAATGAAGACTGAGGACTTCAAAGATAAGATGAAGCTTTATTTTCTAAAACAAACAAAGGAACAACAACAAGGTCCATGTTTTATTTTCTGTGCTCTATTATCCCTGTGAGAAGGGAAATATGATCTTGTGCTGCAATGAAAGCAAAATATAGGAGGAAACGTGATAATGCACCTGAGATGAGGTTCCAACTTAATGAAGCCCTAAGTTTAGAAAAGTGTGTGACTCAATGCTGTTTCATTTCTTACAGCGATTAATTGGTCTGTCAACTCACTCTGAACTCTCTGGGTACTGTGTTACATTCTACAGTTTTGATAAAGTGTTCTGTGATAACACAGTGTGGAAAGTGCTGACCTAGCGGGTACTAGGCAGAAGGGGTGCAACTAGACCCTGGGGATGAGCCACAGAAGCACCAGAGAGAAGAAATGGTTGGGGCAGGGAAAGGCGGCCGGTGGTGAATGCACTAAGGAAGGAACCAGTTTCATCAACAAGTGTGAAAACCTTTAAGCTGGGTCTTTCAGGATGGGCAAGTGAGTTCAGCAAGGAGGTGTGAGGTGGAAAGTGCCCAAGGAGGAGGAAACAGCAAGAAGAAAGTTACAAATGGAAAAGAGTAAAGTAAGTACAGTAACACTGAGTAATACCTTAAATGAAAAGGTCAGGGCTTAAAGGTGGAGGCTTTCTTTGATCAATGGGCTGAAATCTTCGACACAGGCAATGGTGAGCTATTGGGAGAGTACCCGGCAGGGAAGTGACATGATTTGAGCTGTGACTTCAGGAACCTTCTTCCAGGGACAAGGAGCAAGAGAAACTGGCTAAGAGAGATGGAAGGTACCAGCGAAGTTGTGCCTGTGGGAGGTGATGACGCTGGCCCCTCAGGAGGTCCGGCAGAAGGTTCCACAGGGCTTGTTGGGCAGACAGCACGACTTACGTTCTGTCCCTGTGTGCCTGTGGCACTATTAGAAGTGAGTTGTTTTGAGAAGTGGGAGATGAGGAATGATAACAGATATTTTGTGAACCTGGAACATGTTATTCATTGCTGAAAATCCAGGAGCAAAATCGACATAAGATCCTTAGGACTGTAAATACTATAGAGTTGGGATTATCTTCAGGGAGAATGCAGTGGATGAGATTGCCCATGGAGAGAACATGTGGGAAAATCTATATCTAGGGGAAAGAAGAAGAAGAATGGCAGTAATAAAGGGGGAGAGGAGAGAGAAGAAAGAAAAACAGGGAAAGCAAATTTAACATCACCCAAGGTAGGCCAACGGCCTGGCTGGATGCTTTCCCTAATTAATTTGTTTTGTCTTCATATAAAACCTATGAGATGGGTATAATTCTCTACATTTCATACATCAGAAAACTGAGGTTTAGAGATGCTAAATAATTTTCCTAAGTAGAGCTAGAATTTTCAGCTAAGTGTGACTGCAGAGCCTCAGATTATTCTTTTTATCCTGTTGCCTCTCAGGGAAGGAGTCAATGGGTAGGAGTCGAGTAAGAATATTAGTAGGTTGTCACCTAAAGAAAATAAAGGAATGGCAGTCAGCATCACAGAGAGTTTCAGGGAGACGCTGTAGATCGTAAACACTTCAGTCTGAGACTGCATGTAGTCAAAGGAAGAGGGAGGAAGACATTGGATTTGATCATCAGAGCTGTGGGTCCCTACTTACAAAATTCCCAAGGAAGATGATGAAAACACTTACTGAGGAGGGGCTCCTGAAAGACTCTTCCTAAACTTAAAACATGTTTAGAACCAGGGTTAGTTCAGGCTGCATATGTCTTGCAATCACTCTAAAATTATGGGACAATGTGGGACCCGGGTGGCTCAGCTGGTTAAGCATCTGACTCCTGATTTTGGTTCAGGTCACAAGCTCATGGTTTCTGAGATTGAGCCCCAAGCGTGGAGCCTGTTTGGGATTCTCCCACCCTCTCTCTGTCCCTCTACCACTCATGCTTTCCCTCTCAAAATAAAATAAATAAATAAACATTTAGAATTGTCAGACAGGGGCGCCTAGGTGGTTCACTTGGTTAAGCATCCGACTTTGGCTCAGGTCATGATCTTATGGTTTGTGAGTTCAAGCCCCTCATCGGGCTCTCTGATGTCAGCACAACAGACTCTCTCTCTCTCTGCCCCTTTGCCCTCTCTCTCTCTCTCAAAAATAGATAAACATTTTATTTTATTTTTTTATTTTATTTTATTTTTTTTACAAATAGTTTATTGTCAAATTAGTTTCTACATAACACTCAGTGCTCATCCCCAAAGTGCCCTCCTTCATGCCCATCCCCCCCTCCCCCCCACATCCATCAGTCCTCAGTTTTTGTCAGCATTCAAGAGTCTCTCATGGTTTGCCTCTCTCCCTTTCCCCCACCATTTCCGCCCTTCTTCTCCCCCTTGGTCCTCCGTCAAGTTCCTCCTAATCCTCCTATACGTGCAAACATATGGTATTTGTCCTTCTCTGCCTGACTTATTTCGCTCAGCATAACACCCTCAAGGTCCATCCATGTTGCTACACATGGCCAGATTTCATTGTTTCTCATTGCCATGTAGTATTCCATGGTATAGATAAACCACATCTTCTTGATCCATTCATCTGTTGATGGACACTTAGGCTCTTTCCATGTTTTAGCTATTGTGGAGAGTGCTGCTATGAACATTGGGGTACATGTGCTCCTATGCCTCAGCATTTCTGTATCCCTTGGGTAAATTCCTAGCAGTGCTATTGCTGGGTCATAAGGGAGTTCTATTGTTAGTTTCCTGAGGAACCTCCACACTGTTTTCCAGAGGGGCTGTACCAGTTTACATTCCCACCAACAGTGCAGGAGGGTGCCCGTTTCTCCACATCCTCGCCAGCATCTAGAGTTCTCTGATTTGCTCATTTTAGCCACTCTGACTGGCGTGAGGTGGTATCTCAGTGTGGTTTTGATTTGTATTTCCCTGATGAGGAGGGATGCTGAGCATCGTTTCATGTGTCTGTTGGCCATCTGGATGTCCTCTTTGGAGAAGTGTCTGTTCATGTCTTCTGCCCATTTCTTCACTGGGTTGTTTGTTTTTCGGGCGTGGAGTTTGGTGAGTTCCTTATAGATTCTGGATATTAACCCTTTATCTGATATGTCATTTGCAACTATCTTTTCCCATTCCGTTGGTTGCCTATTAATTTTCTGGGTTGTTTCCTTGGCTGTGCAGAAGCTTTTAATCTTGATGAGGTCCCAACAGTTTATTTTTGCTCTCGATTCCCTTGCTTTTGGGGATGTGTCAAGTAAGAAGTTGCTGCGGTGGAGGTCAAGGAGGTTGTTTCCTGCTTTCTCCTCTAGGGTGTTGATAGTTTCCTGTCTCACGTTCAGGTCCTTTATCCATTTTGAGTTGATTTTTGTGCATGGTGTGAGAAAATGATCTAGTTTCATTCTTCTGCATGTTGCTGTCCAGTTCTCCCAACACCATCTGTTAAAAAGGCTGTCTTTTTTCCATTGGATATTCTTTCCTGCTTTGTCAAAGATCAGTTGGCTGTATACTTTTGGGTCCACTTCTGAGTTCTCAATTCTGTTCCATTGGTCTATGTGTCTGTTTTTGTGCCAATACCATACTGTCTTGAGGATGACAGCTTTGTAGTAGAGGCTGAAGTCTGGGATGGTGATACCTCCCGTTTT